CCCCCCGTTCCCGCCACCCGGGCTCGGGGCTCTGTGAGTTCTATAGCCAGAGAATAAAACAAACGGGGGCCGGGCCGGGGTGGGAGGCCGGGCCTGGGCCTGGGTGGGAGGCCGGGGGGGGGTAGTGATGGGGGAGGCCGGGGCGGGAGTCCGGGCAGGGGGGGCGGGAGGGGGGGGAGAGGCCGGGGTGGTCTCCAGGCCCATCTCCAGTATGACAGCTGGCCAGCGATGTGACGCGGTAGAGGTGAGGTGCATGGTGGAGGGTCTTCTGGCTGAGTGTGCAGACCCTGTGTGTGCACAGCCTGCCTGTGCAGACCTGGGAGTGCAGACCTGTGTGTGCACAGCCTGCCTGTACAGACCTGGGAGTGCAGATCTGCGTGTGCAGACCTGCGCATACAGATCGTGTGTGTGCACAGCCTGCCTGTACAGACCTGCGTGTGCAGACCTGCGCATACAGACCCTGTGTGTGCACAGCCTGCCTGTGCAGACCTGGGAGTGCAAACCTGCGTGTGCAGACCTGCGCATACAGATCCTGTGTGTGCACAGCCTGCCTGTACAGACCTGGGAGTGCAGACCTGCGTGTGCAGACCTGCGCATACAGACCCTGTGTGTGCACAGCCTGCCTGTACAGACCTGGGAGTGCAGATCTGCGTGTGCAGACCTGTGTGCAGAGCCTGTCTGTGCAGACCTGAGTGTACAGCCTGTGTGTGCAGACCTGCGCATACAGACCCTGTGTGTGCACAGCCTGCCGGTGCAGACCTGCGCGTACAGACCCTGTGTGTGCACAGCCTGCCTGTGCAGACCTGCGTGTGCAGTGCCTGCGTGTGCAGAATCTGCACATGCAGACATGCATGTGCAGACCTGTGTGTGCGGAGCTTGCATGTGCAGACCTGTGTGCAGAGCCTGCGCGTGCAGACATGCGTGTGCAGACCTGTGTGTGCAGATCCTGCGCATGCAGACATGCTTGTGCAGCGCTTGCATGTGCAGAGCTTGCGTGTGCAGGCCTGAGAGTGCAGAGGCAGACTTGCTCTGCTGCTTGTGAAGTGACTTTGCACACGATGCCAAGTCCTTCTGGAGACAGTCTAAGGAGAAGGGAGCCATTGAAGGGGGGGAAGGAACATTAAGGGAGGAAGCAGGCTTGTGAGTAGGAATAGGGGGAACTCCACAAGAGCAAGGGAGGGCAAGACACTGTCTGAGAAGAAATGTATTCTTGTTGGTTATTGTCCTGGGGCTTGAACTCAGGGCCTGGGCGCTGTCCCTGAGCTTCTCTTGCTCAAGGCTAGCGCTCTACCACTTGAGCCACAGCAACACTTCTGGCTTTTTCTGTGTATGTGGTGCTGAGGAATTGAACCCAGGGCTTCATGCATGCTAGGCAAGCACTCTACCACTGAGACACCTTCCCAGCCCCACAGGACCTGTTGTTAATGTCGATAAACTAAAAAATGCTGGAAGGGGAGGCAGGGATGAGAGTCCACTTCCTGAGCTGACTGTGGCTGGTAATGTGCTGTTTGCTGACACTTCAGGCCCCGCAAAATCAGAGCTGGCTCCATAGGTGGTCATGAAAGTTTGCCCTTTCCATCTGTGACAGACTTCTGTCAGGATCAATGCATGTGCCTACCCTGAGCTTCTTAGCCTGGGCACATGGACTTCCAGCTTCTCTGTTTAAAGCAGACCTGGGTGAGGCCGGGGCATTCTCCAGGTGGCTCTGGGGGTAAAACAGAGGTGGAACCTCTGGATTCCACTGTGTAGGATTTGAGCTTCCGTATATTTTTGTCTAAAATGCCCTGCTGACAGTTTGAACCATGCCAATTCTGGGGCTTGAACTTAGGGCCTGGGCATTTCTCCCCAACCTTTTTTACTCAAAGCTGGTGCTCAACCACCTGAGCCACAGTTCCATTTCCAGCTTTTCTGGTGGCTAAATGGAGATAAGAGTCTCATAAACTTTCCTGCCTGGGCTGGCTTCAAACCGACCCTCTGATCTCAGCCTCCTGGTTAGGATGGCAGTGTCAGCTACCAGTGTGCCAGGCTGCTCCAGAGCCTGTTAACCTAGAATTAAGGAAACTGAAAGTCCAATGGGTTTTACAAAAATGACAGTTTGCCGGTACTCTGGCTGACAGTTGGAGGGAGCAGCGTCCAGGTGGCTCTGGGGCCCGGTGTCTTCCCTGTGCTTCTGAGCCCTGCACGTGACGCTGGGTGCGCACTGCTCAAGAGAGGAGGCTTCTCCTGACCCAGGGTCAGAAGGGCACCCAGGCAGTGAAGCTTTTATCTGTGCTGGATGTACTTTAACATCTGCGAGGTTGGCGATGACTCAGACCTTTATGGCCAGTGAGCCACACCCCCAAGTTCAAGTTCAGCTGCTCAGTCTGTTTCCAGGCCCACGCAGGTGCACGCAGCCACCGGTTCTTCAGAGCACTTGATGTCTGTTCCCCGATCAATGCCGACCCTTGGTCTTTTGCAGGATAAGAATTGCTTTTCTCTGAGAGCAACTGAGAAAGAACAGACTGGAAAGCCGGGAACCAGGACTGGGTGAGTGGCTCTCTGGATCAGCGAAACACAGATTCACCCTTCAGCCCCCAGGGTTCTCTGCCTGCTCAGTGTCTGCCGAGGACACAGCGGGGGCTGGGCGTGGGCAGTGACGCCAGCCTCAGCCGTTTCTCAAGCATGAGCAGCCCCAGGGTTCACTTGGCCGGGCCGGGGAGAACCGGTATGCCACTAGAGGATGTGCTGTGGTGGGAAGCCTGTGAGATGCCCTGTGCCCCCAGTGCCCCTCTGCCCGGTGGTTCCACCCGGGCCTTGCTGTAGCAGGAATGAGGCTTGTCTCAGGTGAGGTGATAAAGAGTCTGATGAGCGGCGCTACCAGTTTTGAGGTTGCTGGTGGAGGAGCTGGGGAGCCTCCCCCCCCTGCACCCCCCAGAGCAGCAGCCTGCCTCTGCGTAGTCCGTCTGAGTAACTCCCAGACCAGCCAACAGCCGAGCCACAGCTTCCTGGGAGATTTCAGCCAGAGGTTCTGCAAGTGTACCCCAGTTCCTGCCCCTGAGACACAGGCTGTGATCCGGTGAGAGAGAAGGCCTGTGTTCACACCCCAGTACCAAAGTAACACAAAAAAAGTTCTGAGTTTAGCCACTATGGTTTTTTTTAGTCCAGAATGAGTCATTACACTAGGGCTTTAGTTGAAGTTCGCTTTTCCTACCTCAGGTCAGGAAGACATTTTTCTTCATTTTTTCCTTAAAGTATCAAAACTTAAAAGTTTTAAAGGGCTGGGAAGGTGGCTCAGTGGTAGAGCGCTTGCCTTTCATGCCTGAGGCCCTGGGTTCGATTCCTCAGCACCACATAAGCAGAATTTTAAAAAAGCCGGAAGTGGTGCTGTGGCTCAAGTGGTAGAGTGCTAGCCTTGAGCTGAAGAGTTGAGGGACAGCGCCCAGGCCCAGAGTTCAGGCCCCACAACCAGACCAAAAAAAAAAAAAGTTTTAAAATTTAGCTGGGTGCCAGTGGCTTACGCCTGTCATCCAAGCTACCCAGGAGGCTGAGCTCAGGATCACGGTTCAAAGCCAGGCTGGGCAGGAAACTCAGTGAGACTCTTATCTCCAATAAACTACTCAGAAAACTGGAAGTGGTGCTGTGGCTCAAATGGTAGAGCGCT